GGGAAGTCAACAGGCGGACCAGAAAAGAGAAAGGGATACGACCATGAATCTTCCTGGCTGGCCACCAATCATCATCCTCAAAATGGCATCAAAACAAGTCTTCGCCCGCGAGAACTCGCCACATCCCGCGATAAATCGCGCGCGCGTGGCATCTGCAATCGCCTGAAGCTGCGGAAACTCGACAGGAAGCCACAGCTGCTCAGGGTTCGTGCACATGTCATGAGATAGCGCATTGCGTGGACCAGCGGTGAAAAGAGCAACGCAAGAGTGGTAGACAGCGAGAAGCCCACGTGAAGGCGAGTAAAAATGAATAACAACGTGACGGAGGGAGGCACAGAACATACGGAACAGGACTATACACTGAGCAAGCCCTACTCCCAACTCCCTGATATCCCGCGTGCGCTTCTTCGACTTCGTGACGCAGCCCGTCCAAACCTGCTCCTCTGCCCTGTCCCCAATCCACAGCCCCAGATACTTGACCCGCGTCTCAAGTTGGAGCAATACAAACGGCTGCCCATGAGGCTGAAACTGGTCGGCAAGCACGGCGAAAAGAGGCGCATGCACCGCGGACACTTCACACTTCGCAAAGTTGAGCGCAAGACCCACAGCCGCTGCATCGGAAGAGGGGCAGAATTCCATCCAGGAGGCACCGAAGACCGAAGCAGAAGCCATCAGCATATGCAAGCGGAAGTTCCAGATGCTCACGCAGCTGGGCCTGCGTCCAGGCAAGGATCGACTCGACTGCTAAACCGAATATAAGCATCGAGTCCGGATCCCCTTGCCGAAGACCTCGATGGAGATCTGCTGAAAACGCTCTCCACACACTGTAATGATAGCCTTGTTCTCGGCATAAAGACACAAGAAAAATTAATCAGAACTTTCGGCACTTTCATCACGGTAAGAACGCGAAACACCCGGGGAATAGAAATCGAAGGAAACGCGGACTCAAAACCGGTAAGGACCAGCCCAGACGTATATCGAGCACGAAGGTATTTTGGAATAAGACAGCGTTCGGCATCTAATACACTGACCAGCATGTCACGTCCTTTGAAACATTGTTTGCTACCTCGAAGCACACCTTGCAACGCAATCTTGTTGGTGAGTATCCTAGTCATGGCCAAGGAGAGCAGTTTCGCGTCGGGGTTGGCCGTGCTCAGTGGCCGAGTTTCACCCAGAGAACGGCAGCCAGACTCCCCCACTTCAGTGTCCTGGATCTTCTTAGGGAGGAAAACAACCGGGCTCCGCTTCATCGCAACAAGAAGTCACGGAACCGCTGTTCTTGGGACCCCCCATCCGACGGTTTCCGGCCTGAACACAACCGATACGCCCCACCGCGCCCCGGCATTCCCACCCCACGGGAGCAGCTGTTTTTGATGCCCCCCAAACGCCAACCTCTAGCCTGAAACCCATCGATACCACCCACCGCGCCCCCGCATCCCCACCCCACGCGAGCTCTACTTTTCGAAACCGCCGCTTGATAATTTCCGGCCTGAACACAACCGATACCCCCACGGCGCCCCGGCGCCCCCACCCCACAAGAGTTCTGTTTTTGGACCCCCCCGCCCGACAATGTCTGACCTGAAACCCATCGATATACCCCCACCGTGCCCCGGAACCACCACCCCGCGGGAACTCTGTTGTTTCTGACTCCCTCCCGACAGCTGCTGGCCTGAAACCGACTGGTATCCCCCACCGCGCCCCTGCAGCCCCACCCCACGGGAGCCCCTTTGTCAGGGTCCCCACCCGACAATGTCCGGCCTGAAGCCCACCGCCAGCAGACGCGCGAGTGGCCCCCAACAGGCCCCCAAGAATCTCCCCAAAAGCCTAAGACCATGATCCGCCGTCGGCTGCGCGAAGCCCGGAGCTCCACCAGAACGGCCCCCACCCTGCCACAAAAACCTCACGACCGTCATGGCGCGATCGAAGAAACGAAGGACTCCCAAAACTTCCAAAAAGCTCACGAACATCTTACGGCAATCGAAGAGCCCAGAACCCACCCAAACCAAACTGCGAACAGAGCTTCCTGTGGGGTCGGCGGCAGAGGCGGCAGCCGTTGAATCCGGCCGCTCCCGCCCTGCGGGTTGGGCCGTGCGAGACCTCTCTGACAAAGTGTTCGGCACTATCTTTCCCCTTCCTTCGCCAGTGGCTGGTCAAAGCCCTCCTGAAAGTCCCTCCGAGGGGGCCCCACTCTGCCGGCGGACCCCCCCTCCCTGAACAGTTCCGGCGCCCGGGGGCGATTCAAGAGCGCCCTAAAACGGGCCAAGAGAGCCCCAAGACGGCCCAAGCGAGCCTCCAGACGGTTCCAGATCGCTCCAAGACGCCTAAGATGGCCTCCAGACGGCCCAAGACGCCTCCAAGACGGCCCAAGAGGGCTCCAAGAGCACCCCCAAGACAGCCCCGAGAAGCAAAAATCATGGATTTTTCAATGGTTTTTGAAGGATTTACACGTTCACGCCATTTCGGCTTACCCACGCTCCACGACGGCCCAAGAGGCCCCCCAGATCGCCCCAGGACGGCCCAACAGGCCCCCAAGACGGCCCCAAGACGGCCCAAGAGGGCCCCAAGACCGCCCAAGAGGCCCCCGGAACGGCCCAAGAGGGGTCCCAGGATGGCCCCAAGAGGAGGCCCAGAAGGGGTACCCGAATGAACATGTCGAGCTTTCGGCTCGAGAGGCCCCCAGGAGACCCTAAGAGGCCCCCTGGAGGCCCCCAACAAACCCCAAGAGAGCCCCAAGAGGCCCCAAGAGGGCCTCAAGAGGTCTCCAAGAAGCCCCTGGGACGCCCCCAAGAGGCCCCTAAACTGCCCCGCAGAAGCCTCCGAGAGCCCTCTCGAGAGACCCCAGGAAGCGTCCATGAGGACTCCGTCCGACCCAAAACCCAAGCACGGTGGCGGGATGGGGCGACGGCTATTTGATAGCTGGCATACGCGCCGCGTCACGACTTTCGATGCTGCGCACCTCTTCGAAAAACTCCCAGGGAGCGGCCGGTGATGCGCCGCCGGCGTCCTCGATTCCTACTTCGCGCGCGCGGGGCGGCCCCTAGGGGTCCCCGGATGCAAAGTACCCCGGCCATTTCCCCCCTGAGATGGTTCTCCTCCTGGGCGCGGACTTCAGGCGCCCTGGAGCGACCCAAGAAGGCCCCAAGAGACGCCCAAAACGGTCCAAGAAGGCCCTGAGTCGCCGAAATATCGGTCCGAGACACCCACGATGGCTTCCAGACGGCCCACGACGGGTACAAGACCCCCGAAGAGGCTACCAAAAGGCCTCCCAAGAGAGCCACAAGAGGGCCTCGAGAGGCCGAAATCGTAACTTTTACTATGGCTATTGAGAAAGATGTTGGCCTTCTCGCCGTTTCTGCTTTCGATTGCTCCAAGACGGCCCAAGAAGCCCCCAAGACCGCCCCAAGACGACCCAGGAAGCCTGCAGGAGTGCCCCAACACGGTCCAAGATGGCCCCAGAACAGCCCAAGAGGCGCCCACGAGGGCTCAGAGGAGGGCTCCCAAACGGCCCAAAGAGGGGCCAAAGAAGGGGACTAGGAACTGAAAAGTCTAGCCTTGAGCCCCAAGAGGCCCCCAGGAGGCCCCGAGAAGCCCCCAAGGAGGCCCCAAGAGGCCCCAGGAGGCCTCCAGAGGCCCCCAAAGCGGCAACCCCAAGAGGCCCCCACACGGCGCCCGAAGGCCTCAAAGACGGCCTCCCAGAGGCCCCCTGAGAGGCCAAACCGAGGGAGCCCCGCCAACATCCATGAGACCTCTGACCCACCACCCAGGCACGGTCAGAGGCGCGCTAAGATTCACAGTAAGTAACTGCTTCACTGTATTTCTACTTCGCGCGCGCGCGGGGCGCCCTCTCGGGGTCCCCGGACGCAGAGTACCCCGGCCAGGTACCTAGCAGGGTCGGGCCAGAGATGGTTTTCCTCCTGTGCGCGGCTTTCAGGCGCCCTGGAGCGATCCGATAGGATCGCAAGAGGCGCCCAAGACGGTCCCAGAGGGCTCCCAGTCGTCGAACGATCGGCACTACATTGACAACAACACCCCGACAAACGACAACGGCCAGGCAGTATGGGCCGGCAGAATGAGCGAAGCGATTAAGCAAACAATTGTCAATACCATGTGACCATGTGTTGCCACCCGTTTCTTAGCGAGCTCGTCGGTTGCTCATTTGGCTCGCTGCTCCCACTCCGCGGTGAGCCCCGAGTCCACATCCGCGCGAGTGCAGTACTGGGCCCTCGCTTTGTGCATACTGATGTCCGACGACTGGATCGATACCCCAAACTGGCCCCAAGTGTGCGCATCTTGACTCCCTCTGCCCGCCCCATCCCCCCATCCAACCTCCACATAATCCCGACTATGCCAGCAGAGTCGGTGTAAACAGCGAAGGGAGGCAGGGCTACTTGTATCAGCATGTTGATTTCGTAGTCTTCGACGTCTGTCCCCCTCTCTCACTCGCCCTCTCTCTTTCTCTTTTTTTCTCTCTCTCTCTCTCTCTCTCTCTCCCGAAGAGCAGGAGGAGGAGGAGAAACAGGAGGAAAAGGAATCTGTTTCACATCCATCGTGGCAAAGAAGCCCCTACATATTCCGTTGTGTGTTGGGCGATGACACAGAAGGGCAAATCCGATCAAGGAGCGTCATGACCGGCACCTCTCGATCGTCTGCCGTAGGAAGAACAGGGAGGAGGAGGAGGAGGATGAGGAGGAGGAGGAGGAGGAGGACAAGCAAGAGGAGAAGCAGGAGGAGGAGGAGGAGGAGCAGGAAAGGAAGGAGGAGGAGGAGGAGGAAGAGAAGGAGGAGCAGCAGGAAGGGGAGGATGAGGAGGAGGAGGAGGAGGAGGAGGAGGAGGAGGAGGAGGAGGAGGAGCAGGAAGGGGAGGAGGAGGAGGAGGAGGAGGAGGAGGAGCAGGAAAGGGAGGAGGAGGAGGAGGACGAGGAGGAGGAGGACGAGGAGGAGGAGGAGGAGGAGGAGGAGGAAAGGGGCACGAGGGGAGGAGCGCGACGGGACGGGGCGACCTGCCCGAGCCCCCCGACCGCCGCCAGCAGCACGGCGCGCCAGCACCAGCGCGCCATGGCGCGGCCGGGGCGGGGGGGGGGCCCCGCGGGCCCGCGGGCTCCGCGGCCCGCCCCCGTCCCCCCCCCCCCGCCCCCCTTCGGTATAGCTGGAGAACGCGGGGCGGCCAGGCGGAGGCGCGCCGCACCGCCGATCCCGAAGAGGACGACGGCGACGGCGGCGACCACGACGACGGCGACGGCGACCACGACGACGACCACGACGATCACGGCGCGGATCGCCCTCTTGCAGCCCGCCACCGCCGATCCCGAAGGGGACGACGGCGACGACGGCGACCGCGGCGGCGGCGGCGGCGACCACGACGACGACCACGACGACGACCACGACGATCACGGCGCGGATCGCTACTCTTGCAGCTGCTGCCGTTCGGCACATACAATGTCGTTCGGCACGGGCGCGATCGTCTCGATCGCGCTGCGTGGGACACTCGCCGAGCTGCCGCTGCTCGCCTCGCGCTCGCTCGGGTGGGCGCTTGACCAGCCGATGATCCATCTGTGTGCCAAAGCGCTGATCATCCGATTGGATCCTGGTGTCATTCAGAATTCGCGGCTCGCTGTAGTGTCTGCACGCAAGCTCCGTATCCTGGCTGCCTCGGCGGAGATGCGCCGCCATCCTTGCTCTGCCCCGCCGCCATGGTCTCGCCGCAGGCCCAAGCGGCAGGTCTCACAGATTGCTCGGGGAAGCCAGCGATCGCAAGCGAAGCGGACTCGCTGCTTGACAGGCTCGCCCAGATCCTCCGTGCGGTGCGCCAAAGTCGGCATACAGAGCTGCTCCACGACCTCAGCTGCACCAACCTCGACCCCGGAGGCCATGGCGCCGATTCCACGCCAGCTGGCCCGCAGATCTTGTCTGCCCCACCTCACATCTCTAAGGAGTGTCCACGTCACAGCTGATCAGAATGCCAGCGGTCTCTATCGACGATCAAGTTCTGCGGCACATCCCCCCTTTTTTAGTCGCTGCAGCTGCTGCCGCCGCAGCCTCAGTCCTCTGCCTCTGGGTGGCGGAATCCTCTGACTTCTCGTCGGGCTCGATCCATCGCACGTGAGGACACAGGCAAAGACAGAGAAACAACACGAACTCCACTAGCAGACGGGTCGGCCAGGACGGCGGGGCCAAACCGCAGCGCGCTGACGGAGCTGGACTGACGCAGGCCCGGCTGGACCGACGCTGCTGCGATGCGTTGGCGTGGGTCTGGCTGGGCTCACGAGTGCGGAAGCGCGGCCAACCTGATCGGTGCTGATTCAACCTGAGAGGTCATACGCAGCGCCAGAACGCAACGGCAATGTTTAAACACTCAGCCCGACGCGCTTTCCGCACTGCATGATATAACGCCGAAGTTGCAATGGAACGGCCTGATTCCGATCACAGTGGATTGGATTGAATTGAACGCCTGATACGCCAAATCTGTCGTAAGCCTGTGGCGGCTCTGAGCTGAAATGGAACGGCCCGGGCAACCACGTAAAGACTCTCAGACCTGCTGATGTCGATGAGGTCGGGGTGTGCTCGAATGAGTATCCAGATCCGCATGGACTCGCAGTGGCGGCGCTCGGTTAGACGGATCCCTGGAGGGAGCACTCGAGATCTACGTGGGGCTCCGCTCCTAGACAGGACCAGTGGATGGTGGGCGAAGGAGCGGGCTTCGAATGCGAAGGAAACAACTAACTGCGAGGTGGGCGCATTTAGGCGCTAGGCGCTACGAATCCCAAGAGGCCCGTCTCTGGCCGCACGGTTCCCCGGTAGCCTCATCGGAAGAGCCAGGACGGGTTCGCACGGAACGGCATGATCTGCCGCGCCTGCGATGGTGACGCCTCAGTCCTACCATGACGTGGGACTCGGGAGGACGTACTGGTACTATGCGCCTCCGTCGGATGCGCCCGTCCGAACCGAACATACAGCACAAACATCTCATACCATACAGCTGCCCAGGCCACACGGCCAGGACGCGCCTGCCACCGAGCATATGGGGGCCGGGGCGACGCACACGCACGCACACCCTTGAGTAGGGACCGACCGTCCCAGCATTCCTATAGTCCTACCACGAAATGTTCTTAGAACCCAAAAATGTTCTAGTAACAAAAACAATGTTCTTAGAATATAGACCCGATGTGTTACAATCTCAGCCAGAACTGTTCTAAGAACATTTCGTGGACACCACGAAAATATTCTTAGAACATTGTTTGGTGGGGCTATAGGCGAGCCAGGACGCTTCGCCACTGCATGACACACGGTGCCATTACCTTCGGGCGGTGTCTCATTCGCACCCTGCGCGGCGTGCCTTCGCCCAGGCCCTCGCCAACCGCAGCTCTCCAGCACACGCAGTGCCTGCGTCGCGGCGCGCAGAGGAGCAACCGGCAGGGCTCAACAAACTGCGGCCCGACCTGGCGGGCCTGTGGAGGGTGCACCTGGCGCCGCGGCCGCTCCAGCGCGCTCCCAGAAAGCTCCCAGGACGCCCTGCACGTGCTCTGGAACGCTCCTCCTCCTCCTCCTCCTCCTCCTCCTCCTCCTCCTCGTCCTCCTCCTCCTCCTCCTCCTCCTCCTCCCTCCTCCTCCTCCTCCTCCCTCCTCCCTCCTCCCTCCTCCCTCCTCCCTCCTCCCTCCTCCCTCCTCCCCCTCCCTCCTCCCTCCTCCTCCTCCTCCTCCTCCTCCTCCTCCCCTCCTCCTCCTCCTCCTCCTCCTCCTCCTCCTCCTCCACCTCCCTCCTCCCTCCACCTCCTCCTCCTCTATCCTCCTCCCCTCCTCCTCCTCCTCCTCCTCCTCCTCCTCCTCCTCCTCCTCCTCGGAGCGACTTCCGCGACGAGGAGAAACGCATCTCACGCACGGATGACACGGCGATCTGTCGCGGTGGCTTGCGCGGACCGCCGACACGGCACGCTGCACTGGAAACGAGGGCGCTAACGCGGGGCCTTCCACTTAAGTCGGGCCTGTCCCCCTACCGGGGGATTGTCGACGAAAAATTAAAAAAACAAATCCCCAAACATAATATTAAAAAATAATCCAGAAATAGTCTGGGGACTATTCTTGGACCATGTCTTGGCCTTTTTGGGGGTGTTTTTGGGGCATCGTCGAAAATCCCCCTGTAGGGGGACGGGCCCGACTTAACGCTAACGCGCGGCCTTCCACGGGACGCCGCGCTGGAAGCGAGGGCGCTTCATACGCGCGGCCTCGCACGGGCAGCCGGCGCGGCCGGCGCTTGCCGGGTGCCGCGTGCCCTTCCGTCGCGCGGACTCGCCCTCATCCCCAGGCCTGCACCGAAGGCGTACTTTTTTACCGGCGCGAGAGGAGAGGAGAGGAGAGCAGCAGGGGGGGGAAGGCAGAGGGGGGAGGGGAGGAGAGGAAAGGAGAGGAGGGCAGAGGGGGGAGGAGCAGAAGGGGGAGGGCGAAGAGGAGAGGAGGAGAAGGAGGAGAGGAAAAGGGAGGAGAGCAGAAGGGGGTAGGGAGGAAAGCGGAAAGGGGGAGGGAGCAGAAGGGGGAGGGAGGAGAGGAGAGGAAAGCGGCAGGGGGAGGGGGCAGAAGGGGGAGGGCGAAGAGGAGAGGACGGCAGAGGGGGGGGGAGCAGGAGGGGGAGGGCGAAGAGGAGAGGAGGATTTTATAAACAAGGCATCTGCTGGAGAGAACTCCTCTCCAGTAAAGGCCTCTGGCGGTGACCACGCTGAGCAGCCACCGAGCCAGGGCCGCTGAACAACGCCCTTCTGGTACTCCACGACAATGCCGAACATGACGAGGGAGAGGCAGAGGGCTACGAAGATGTAGCCGCTGGCGTACGTGTCTGCTGTACACAATCTTCGTGGACATGAACACTAAGCTGCCCAAGGAAATACACAAACTGAGTGCCAGGAAGCGACCGCCACATACAGCACAAACAGCAGCAGAATATTTACCCAGACAACGAAATGCCATACCTCCGAAACATGTGAGCACGCAGATCACACTGAGCCGTCAACGACTACCAATGCGAACACTCGAAAAGCACGGGACACATATTTCAAGGTCGCAGTGCATGCAGGAATACATCTGGGTACCTTTTACCATGAGGATGCCACACGCGTTGCACTCCAGGTCTAAATCCTCCCAGGAGCGGAACTCCACGAGACCTGGCCCAAGGGGACAATGACACGGGGGCCTCCTATCCTCGCTGACTATGGCCATGTCGTCCCATGCTGGTTCTGACGATGAGGAACAAAAAACAGCATCCACATCGCCCTCCGAAGGCTTCCCCTGCGCCACGTCTGCCGGCGGCACGGCAGCCTCGGTATCCCCAGCGGGATCATCACGCACATGAGCCACATCACAAAGATCTGCCGTGACGTCGGGCACAACGCAACTAGCAGCGTCCGCAGGAACAAATACCTCTGCATGCACATTCCATTGGAACACATCACCAGCTCCAGTGACACGAGCACCTGACAGCAAACTGGCCTCACGGGGCGCCCCGAGACGGGGCCCATGCTGAGCGAAACGGAGATCCTTGCTCGATGCTACAGAAATCGTGACCCCAGGGGCCGTGGAATGGAGCGCCACATTCCTCCGCAGCACTTCAGCGTGCTCTGGCCAAACTCCTTCGACCAGCTTGGTGAGACAGGGGACGAGAGCTACCACACGATCTGCTACCTCAGCTGGCAGATCCAAGGCCATCGCCGTGGCCTTGAGGAGGTGGTCCAGCTTCGACTTGAGCTCGTCCCTCTCGGTGGCGATGCGCCTGAGCGCCGCCTCCACGCTAGCGATGGCCGCCTGGCGTGCAGCAGTGCGCTCAGCGCGCGAACGCCTCGGGACGCCATGATCGGCATCCGCCCGCGCCATGCTCCGTGAGCCAAAAGCCCCACTCCCCCAAGTCCCACACGCCCGCCACGTTGCCCCGTCAGACTGGGGTCGCAGGGTACGCCGAGGGACAAGGTCCAGGAGTGGGGGGCCTACGGAAAGGCATGAGCCAAAATGGCTACGGAAGGAGAGGAGAGGAGGAGAAGGAGGAGAGGAGGAGGGAGGAAAGGAACAGAAAGGGGGGAGGGCGAGGAGGAGAGGAGGAGGCCCGCAGCGCGGCAGCAGCAAGCCACAACT